CCAGGCACTGATCAGTCTCATCCCAGTAGTTGTGAATATGATAATGGGGTGGATGACATTCAATGCCCGAGATACTATGTAGTGTGGAATATGAACATGAACACACACATCTATCCAGAATTCGTTGTTAGCTTCAAGGTCTTGTTTGATGCTGAAGGTGATATATTGTCACTCTAATATTTTTTCTGCTTACTATTGATTTGTGTTCTTCTAAGAAAAAATAAATTGTAGATTATAGTGTTATATAATTTGTACTCAATGAATTGATCAAAACTCAAATTAATTAATATCTATGGCTCTTCTTTCCATTTGGATGGAAAAGTTCTAGAAGATTTTAGTATCAGGAGACAGCATTTCATCTGAAGATTGTTGGTACATCCTTGTGGTTTGGCGCTTTTATATTCAATTGATTAATCACTTCACTCTGGTTCTATGAAACAGCAGTGGTTTTTTGCTGCTTAGCTATGTGATGCCATTCTTTTGATCATTTATACTTGATACAAATTTACAGGTCATCCTTGTGGAAGTGGGAGTAAGAATAATGTTTCTGTGGTTAATACAGCTTGTCATGGTCCTTGTGGCCTGTTACATTCAGAATCTTCTACAGTAGATAGCGTAAGTTACTTGATATTTGAGTTTTGCATCATATGCTTTCTCAGGTTTTCAATGTTAATGCCTATTTTTTAACTGTTGGTTTTTTCCAAAATCTTTTTGTTTTAAATTTTTCTATTGATATGGAGAGAAACGATGCTGTTGATCTATTCCAAAATAACAAAAGCAGTTATCCCTTCTAATTGTCGATGTTCTGGCTGGAACTGGAAGTAGACTCTCAATTTTAAGGGGAGTAAAACCAAGAATATTGAGGAATTAAAAGTTTGATGAAAGTTTAGCTGTGTAAGTTAGTCTGGAAGTTTTGGTGTGGTGATGCACCAATTTTAGGGGCTTTAAGTTTTTTAAATTTGTTTCCTGGTTTTAAATCCTATAGTGTTTAGTTCTATTGCTTATATAATAAAGAGCATCGTTTAAATAATTTTGGATTGTGGGGTACCTCCACAGGGAAAAGCTCCTAGTATGGTTGCTAGCAGTGCAAAAGTTCCAAAATCCCCTTGGATGCCTTTTCCTCTGCTTTTTGCAGCTATCAGAAACCAGGTTCCTCCCAAGGATATGAATCTTATCAAAACACATTATGAACAATTTAGGGTATGTAAAGTAGCTCCTTTTGATGCTTGTCTGCCTCGACTCACACAATATCTCTAATGCATCATGCTCTTGTAATTCAGTCAAAGCAGATATGCCGGGATGATTTTGTGAAGATGCTGAGGTTAATAGTTGGTGATACTCTATTGAGAGCTACAATAACAAATCTTCAATTCAAGGTACTGATTTTTCTTTTTAATTATTTTGGCATTGAAATACCTCCTGTAGGAATTACTTGCTATCGAGTATATTAGGCAATAATTTTCATTTTTCTTTTTCAAGTGAAATTTGAAATCTTAGGTAACTACCTTTTGCTATGCTAATATGTCCTAATTGATGTTTAACTGCTTGCAGATACCATCCAACGGTGAAACTAAAGATTCAATCAAGAAGGAATGCTAAGGCTGTATTTTGTTGAGAAGGTGGAGATCTTTGCACTTGGGGTCAAATATTGTCAACCTTTTTGCTGGATAAGTCAAAATGTAGTTGTGATATTGTTAGCTCGTAGGCAAATTATCTTTTCTTTTTCATTTCCTTTTGTCATTGTCATTTGGGCCTGAGAAATGCAACTGGAACTCCATTAGAGTTTATTTTGAACCGTCTGTGATCAGATGCTCTGTCAATCCTCTTATTTTGTACCTTATGTTTGGTTTTTATAATAAAGGTCGTTAATTGGGTATTCCCTTTCCCCTCTTTTTTCACTTCAAAATGAATTCTTGCGGCAGTGATGCACTCGTGTTAACTGCTGCTCATTTTATTCTCGCATTAAGTTACCTAGCTTTTGGGCTGGTTGATCTGATTGGAATACTAACAATTTAAGTTGCTTCTGATTTGGCCTGGGAATTGTAATACTGGATTTTTTGACGACACAATTGTCGTCGAATTTTTTTTTTCATAACTCGTTGAGGTCATTTTATTGGAAGACCCACCTGACCTTGGTTGCTTTCTTGAGATTATATTGCTTTGTGTCTGATAGAATCTAGTATCAAGAAAGGGAAAAGTAATACAGAAACAATGCAAATTGTATTAACAGAACATTATCGGAAGAGCATTGTATTAATGGCTCTTAGAGAGGCCAAATCTTGATCTTCCTCCATGTCTATGTTAGGTGTCTCCTTTCTTATTTAAAACATACTCTACTTCTAACTAATTTTGTTACAGTGGTTGATGGTGAATGATTTCCTACTGTGACCCTTTCTTCCTAAAGAGCTTTTTCTTCCAAGGCCACCATTACTGTGCTCATCTTTTCTTGTTTCGTCTGTCGAAATATCTTTTTACCTAGGACAACCATCCATATACGTCTTTTTCCACAAAGATTGAGAATTCAAGTCATCTTTAACGGTCCTCCTCATTGCTCTTAATTGGTGTCTCATAATCATCTCTCATGTTGTTTATTGATTCTCGCTCTAAACCATTCTGATTCATGGTCATAATTTGCTCCAATAATTTTTCTATCTTTTTCATATGCGCCTTGAACTCGTCGGTATTTCAGGTGCTTCCTCTGCCTTTCACGTTATGCAGCAACCACACTCTCTAATGACTCTATTCGTTTTTCTATTCTAGGCGTCGCACTCCAAGTTTTTCTTACCATTTTCCTCGCAACTCAGCGTCACCCCCTACAGAGCTCCTAGGTTGGAGCTTGGATACTAGTGATAGAATCTAGTATCAAGAAAGGGAAAAGTAATACAGAAACAATGCAAATTGTATTAATAGAACACTTTCGCTCTTCGAGAGGTCAAGTCTCTTCGACAACAATGTGATCTTCCTCCATACTTAAATTGGATGTCTCCTTTCTTATTTAAAATACACTCTACTCCTAACTAATTCTGTTATAGCGGTTGAGGGTGAGTGATTCCCGCGACCCCTTCTTCCTGTTATAGACCCTCTTAATATAGGATAGTTCCCTCTAATAGTGTCTCTTTCTGAAATAGTCATGTTAAGGTCCTTTAGCACTAAAAACAGTGCTTACTGCTTGTGCTACCATGGAAATTTAGTATTTGGGGCCTTGCATTTATGCGAATACTATGTTTCATTAGACTGTTACATTTTTATTGGGCTAAATAAAAATATAATAACTGTCTATCATGTACAGGACGTGTGAGAACACTCTTTCGATTGTTGAGACTGATATATCCAAATCCTAGAATTAAAAATATGATGAACTGAATGTCTCCCATCAAAACTCTTTGCACTGCTGGTGAAACTTTCGGCATTAGTGGAGCCAGGAATTACCGTTCAGGTAACTCGTCAGAGGTGTCAAGAAATAAAAAACTTCGATTTTTGTTGAAAACCTACTGTCGAAGACTTCGTACTGGATCTATTTCTCCGTGTTTGTAGAATAAGTTCAATAAACTGGATCTTGAGCATTTCTTTTTAGGTATATATATGTTACGCATTTTTATATTTGCTAATGTATCTACTTGTTTCTTTAAGCTTCTGTTGGGAGAAGATTCATGACTTACTTTGATTGTGCTCCCAAAAGGTTACTATCCAGCCATATAACATGTTAAGGAAAGATAAAGAAATAAGTTGAACGAAGCTAAAATTGGCTTTTACACCAACAGTTGCGAATGCTGATTCAAAAAATTTTAAGGACCTAATCAGTAATACATCAGCAGCAAGTCAAGTATTGGACCCAAAATTGTCCGTCTCCCTGATTTTACTCTTGGACAGCTTTACAGCTGATTCAAGTCTTGATTTTCATGAATATTTCATATACTCTTGATTACAGTGGGAAGTGGAATAATATCACAAGGAGTTGCATTTCAAGATTTTTTAAATAGTAGGGATTGATTGTATCTTTTTATTTTATTAGTTGCTGACTCGTAGGTTGAGTCACTAGCATTTTATAGCTAGTAGCTTAACAGCTGGGTCGTACATGTAGTGAGCGTTTGTCCATGGTAGTAGTAATAACTGATTAGGAACATTCTTTGGTTGGATGGGGTGTGAGAGAACTCTACACCTTGAGAAGTCCTTTTCCTTCAAGATAATCCAAAGGAATGTTTTTGACTTGAAAAATCAGTTGCTGAACAAACTTTAGTTTGATCATCCTCTTAAGGGTGAAAATTGTGATGGTTTGCTTTGGATGGCCGTATTTTGGAGCCTGGATCATCAAATTTAGCGTGTGTATGGATTATGGTCTTGCAGGAGCAGGAAATTAAAGCCCGTTTATTGGATAGGGTAAATCCAATGCTTCTTGCAGTTCGGTCTTTTTAAGGATTATTTAAGAATTCGGCAAAGAAAAAGATCTTTTAAGAATGTGATTCTTACGGTTGACAAAAATTGACTTGATTGCATATTCAATCTGTAACAATTGTACAATTTTAATCGTTCAATAATTTTTTATTTGTATCAATCCCTCAAATTTCTAAATATTATTACAAATTAATGCTTTTACAATTTTTTTTTATTTAAAACTCATTCTCATTGTATTTTCATTCAATTGGGATCATTTTTTTTTTTTTGTTGGTCAAACCGTTGGAATTGGTAGATTTGCGTCAGATGGGGATGAAATACCAGTATAAGAAACACTTGGACTGCATTTGGGAGGTTGAATTTTGTCATCATAATAGATTTATAGTGAATCACATTCTATATATCAGCCACCAAAGCATCCCTTTGTCTCCTTCCAACAAGGGAAAAAATATATCTATCTACCCATCAACCACTTACCGTTTTCCAAAGCAGTTTAAACGTTGTATGATCAGTTTTACAACCAGCAAGCTCTTAATTACGTTGCACCATCCGTCACAAAGTTGTCCAAAGTAAAGAGCGTTGGTTTTGTTGACTAGAATAACAACATGAACCACTGAAGCAGTCTCTTATATTACCTTTGTAGTAGATAAAATGGTACGAAAAATTTTCATGTTACTCATTACAAGCATCATCATTGTGTGCCAAGAGTTGCATCACCTTCACTTGATGGATCCCAACCAGGGGGTTTGATATTTGGCCAATCACCGCGACATCCCAATCTTATGTATAGGCTTTTTTTACCTACAAGATGACACAAATGAATTCAACCATTGTCAAGTAAAAATAATGTTCAAGTTTCCCACTTTCAATCTAAAACCCCTCCTACTTTCACTTGAAAAATGCCCTGTGAGTCATTTGCAACTCTATTTTTATTCCCTCGCTCTTATCTATTAGTAAGGATGCTCATTGCTTTGCTGCACTCCTTATTTCAAAACACCTTATTTTCAGTCTTTCAGTTTTATCCCATAAAATCACATCCTAATATCAATGAAAAATTCCACAAATTATGTGTTGAACTCAAAATTTTAACTAATTGAAATGAAATGATAAATTAATGGAAGTCATTGGATCAACTTGAGAGCATTGTATTGTTCCCACAAAACAATATTGAACAAGTACCTGGAAGTTTCTTGTCTGATAGAATTAACTGTTTTAAGGCACTCAAACATGCTTGCGCTACACTTTTGGCATAAGCAGGATACCATCCCTGTAGCTTAACAACCACATCTGCATTTGTGTATGAAATTATGCCATCTTTGACATTTTTATGGGTCTCCTGTCTTGCAGAATCTTCATCTGTATTTCAAGTTATTAAAATCATTTTTATTGGAAACAACAGACTGAAGCAATCATGCTAACGAATTTGTAGAGAAAAGGTGGGGAAGGAATCAAAAGAAAATGAAGGGACTGGGGGGGCAGAGGAATGAGTATGAAAGGAAAAGTAATCAGTTTCCTTACCCTTGTTTGTATTTTTAAAATCCTCCAATCTTCTTCAAATTGGTGGAATAAGATGTTTATAAAAATTAATAAGGGGTGATTTTATTGAGAGTTCTTCCCTCCTCATTTTCACGAAACCCCCAAACAAGGGTGAGATTTACTTGAAACCTCTCTTCCATTTCCCCTCCTAAATCCCCCATCCAAACATACCCTTAGCACAAGACTTGTAGTAAAAAATTCTTCACAACTTGTAGTAAAACATACTCATCTCTTTTTTAGTTCTAAATCAATAATAAATTTGAAGGTTTAAAACAAGGTTGGACTGAAGACATATATCCAGTAAAAAGTAACCAAGATTTATCAACAAAAATCACCTAGTGCTTCAGTCTGTGACAACCAGACAGTAAATCCTGCATAAAGATGTCGCCATTTATCAGCTTTTCCAGCAGCTCCTTGTTGCCCTCCTAATGTTGCAATTACTGCCCTAGCATGACTGGCAAACCACTCAGAAGTAGCAAATAAATTGGTTAGTTCCCCATATAAAAAAGTGGTCAAGAAAATGAAATGAAGCTTGACTTACCTACTTATGCTTTCAAGTACAGCACTTTCTGCTTCTGCTACTGAGTCAGAGCCTTCAGCGAGCAGCCCTAGAATCAATTACACTAGTTAATACACTGCAAAATATAATATTCAAGTCATGTCTACTCAGAAGCATGCACTTGTTGCATCCATATCGTCTGATATTAAAATAAGATATCTCACCATATTAATAGAGTGGACAATTTGACTAAAGAAAACTGACAGTTGACAATAAAACACATAAATACATGGAATATGTGTTTAGGACAATCCAAGCTTTAAACAAATGCAGCATTTTCACAGGACAAGATTATAAAATATATACTCTGTTTTCTCCCTTTGTAACATATCTTTGTCAATGAAAGTAACAAACAAAATGACTACAAACTGGCATTATCAGAACTCAGCAGCTTTCATGCAATGCTTGTTGTCCATACACTAAAACAAAAAATAAACACATTCCTTCAGTCTCATCCATTAAAATCAGATACATCTAAAATTAATGTACAACTGTCTTGTAAGACGCCAATGGAGGCACTCCTACGATTTGATCCTAGAGAATAAGAAGCAAGTCATAGCATTGACACTCACATGAATCCACAATTTGCTTGGTATATGTTTCCAATAACTCTTTTGTGCTAAGTGGTGTGTACCTGAGAAGAATACCAAGCACTAAATTTTATAAGCCATTGATGAAAGTTGCACATTGATCATAGGCATCTAATGTAAAAGTGGATCCCATGATATTATTATGGCTCCATAAAAGATGATTTAAGTTGTTAGCATTTTAAATAAACATATAACTGGGCATTCAAAAGGGAAAGACCTTTCTTTTGTGGAAACCAGAAACCCAACCCATAAGTGATAACTGCTGTATGTAACACTATAAATGAGGTTCATACTTCATATGTTATTGGGGCAGTAGGAATATTGACAATTAGAATCATAAATGGACTTATAGTACCCGAGACCAGTTGCTAGCTCTTGAGCCACTTTCTGGTTGATTTCATTAGAATCACCAACAAGAAAAATTGATGTTCCCTGCAAAAGTTGTGAAGATCCTGCAGCAAGTGATTCCCAGGACTCCATGATGTCTGGCCATTTCAAATCAGGGTCCTGTTTCTTGAAGTTCACAACAAGTTGATCATCATCTATATACCTGTCCAAATCACACAATTCAACTAAGAAGGCAAAGACTAAAACCTTATTTATATATATAATAGACAAACAACATTGCACATAATAAGAAATCAATAAATAGTAAGTTTTTATTAGAAATAACAGCACTTAACAGCATCAATGCATTGAATTCTATAATTTTCAACAAAATATTACTACATATAGATTCTTATTCCATGCAATATTTCACGGATTCAAAAAACCATTATAAAAAAAGTACTTTTAATTGCACAACCAACCATATTGTTTCAGAGGGTTTAATCCTATCAAAAAGAGGATTAGTTTCTATGAGTGTGATGGGAGATCCTGGCCCCAAAACTCTGATAGCTAAAGAGGTATCGTTTGTATCAACCAATATATCTCTTGAGCTTCGAATATCCAAACCTCCGATATGTAACCTTAACTCCACCTCCGAAGAACCATCAGAAAACTGCATTTTGAATTCGACACCAAGCTAGTATCAGATATAACCAAACGCAACTGATGAAATAGAAGGACTTCAACACAACACGTGTTTTGCAATTTGCATATACCAAATGGGCGAAAACGGCTAAAACTAAATTAACTAAATTACCCATTTTCTTATTTTGTTAAAAAGATTTTTTATTTTTTTTTATGATTTAGTTTTGCTTGCTTTGAAACAAGCAGAGAGAAGTAGGATACTGATATTACCTCGTAGGTTGTAGTGGATAAGGGGGTGGTGGAGGAACACTTGCAAGAATGGAGACCGAGATTGTGTTTTTGAGAAAGAGAATGAGAGAATGAACGTAGTGACAGTACATTGGGTTTCAGGACTGAGAAGTTGAGGGTTCTGGTTGTGGTGTTTGGGGAGAAAAAGAAGAGACCAGCAGGAGCAGCACCTGCCATTTCAGATAACACAATTTGATTTTTCTAATGTGGTTTGATTTTTCTTTCCAGCTTGAACTTGGTCATTTCACGTAAAACACCCCAATGTTTTTACTTCTTTACTCATTTTGACCAAAAAACAATTAAATGACTTTAATGTGTTCTAGTTCTAGACGTAAAATTTAATTTATGAATAAATTTAAATTTTATTTCTATAATTAGTTATAATCATCAAAATTTTATATTTTAAATTAAATCAAACTAAATATGTTTCCAATTGATTGCATGTTATGATTTTATTTCAATTAAAATAATATTTAAGAGATCCATTTGAATTTGACAAAATGTCTTTGCTTTCAAGATTTTTGTCTGAAATTTTTTGATATACTAGTAAAAATATATGTTTAGGTGTCTTTTATATTGTTGGGTATATTTTTATAACGTGTATATAATTATTTAAAAAAAGTAAAAAATAATAATATATGATGTCACATATGATATTATTTTTTAATAGCTTAAACAGTGGAACTCCTCCGCTTCTGTACTCTTTTGTTCTTGTGCTAGGCTCTAGGTATTCGTATGTTTTGTTTGGGTATATGTCTCTTATCACTTTAGTATCATTTTTTTAAATAGTTTTTAAAAATAATATTAAATTTTATAATTATATAATAATAAACGTATTTATATATGAAAAAATTTAAATTAAAATAATATATATAAACACACACAATTACACGTGTATAAAAAATTGCAAAAAATAATAATTTATCATTCATTGTGTTGAAATTCTAATAAACAACTAAAAATGATTTTTATAAATTTTTGTAATATTTAATTTATATTTATTATATATTTTAGTTATTTATATATTAATTAAACTGTTAAAAAAAAAAAGGTGAATCAAACACGACATAAAGGAATGAAAATGTAAAGTAGGACATGTGACCCACAAAAGCCATCTTTAACACGTTCATTTCAGATAAGAGAGATGCCAAACATTGGAGCTCATACGAAATCCATCTCCATATTACCCCAAGCTTCTGTCTAATAATTTTTTTTTCTCTTTTTTTTTTTTCCCTCTCACTCCAAGAGTGCATACCAAATATAAGTTAAAGAAGAGACAAGATTTTCTTACACATTGTATAAATTTAAAAATTCTTACGCTTAATTTGAGTTTTTTATTTAACTTAAATCTAACGGGTTATAATTTATTACACTACTGATAATTAAATTTAAGTTAAATAAAAAGTATAAATTAAGTGTAAGAATTTTTAGACTTATACTGATGTAAGAAGATCTTTCTCTGTTAAAAAAATCTTAATTTTAAAATATATATATATATATATATATTGTATATTTAATCTCTAACATATCTAATTGTTTAAAAAAATTTGTGTCTAAGAGTTTGATGATCTTAATTATTGATCAACACCATATCAATATAATCTATATAATAATTTAAAATCTATAATCAAATAAACTTGTTATTGAATAATATATTTAGATGCTAGATAAATCAATGACCAACTAAAGACTAATTTCTAAATCAATTCATAAGATCAAAGATGATCAACGTTTAAATATGTTGATTTGTCTTATGTTTTTGCAAACATGAACGGACGTAAGTCATACAATGTACATGGTAAATTTTGACTAGAGAATATAAAAATATTTCTCTTATGTTGTATAAATATTTTTTAATTATATCTAATTGGAATGTAATAATAATATAACTTTCTAATATCAATCAACAACAAATTGTCACATCATTACAAAGTATTAATTTTTATAAATATTACTTTAAAAGTCATGTTTGAGATGTTATTTAATTAGTTGAGAGTGTAATTGTTTATATTAATAATACATTACATTGAAACTCTTTTAAATTTAAGTAAAATTTATAAATATGAATTAAAAATTTTGAATTTATAATATAAATTTACATAATTATTTTAAATAAACTAGTAAAAAAATTAATTTAAAAGTAAAAGTATTTGATATTTAAAATAAAATGTAAAAATTTAATAAAAAATTAACTATGATATTTGAAACAAATCTTGACATAAAATAGAAAAATATAAAAATGATTAATATTATAAGAATTTTGAAAAGTATAAAAGTAATTGTTAAATAATGGTTGAAATACATGTCATAGGAAAAAAATAGTGTAATAGATTAGAATATGTTTTCTCATTAAAAAAAAAAAAAGGAATTCATATTTACAATACATATGTTGGTTGTAAACTTTATTTATTAGAATAAGATTAATTTATAACTTTTAACTCAAAACTGAAATTGAGTACTTAAGATAAGAAATATACCTCCTAAACCATTATATTAACTATGCATTTCAAAAATTTTAATTCCATTTTTTATAGTCTTTTATATGTATATCAAATTTTTTTTTCTTTTCCTTGCCCATGATATATTCTTTTTTGTCGTACTCATAATCATAAATTTTTCAAGAACTATAACGTCCTTTAGTTTTTGGATAAAACATACACTTGCCTTTATCCAGATGATAGGCCCAAACAGTACACAATTGTCTTGTTACATTCAGGCCCTATAAAACATCTGCTCAGATTTGGGCCATGATTGTTGGGCTTATTGGGTGTATCTATCTGGCCCACAATTGTGTTTCGTAGGCTGAGAATTCATTCAGTGTCCACTGTATAAGGATAATTTATTATCGTTAATTTATTCCCATATATTAATATATTGTTATATAGGGCTCATACATATCTTGAGCAAGGCAGATAATGTGATGTTATGTGCACAACCATGAATTTTTATGCACACCCTAAACTTACCTCAAATTTTGATTATCTCTCTTTCTGGTCCATTATATTGCTAATCATATTTATTTATTTTTCCTCATTTCTCTATTTCCATTTGGGATGTGCACTTGAAAGTGATGTCAAACGATCATTACTCTACAATTTAACACTGAAGTCTTTCGATTTTCTGAAGGAAATTCTTGATAGGGATGCATGAATATAATGAATTATAAATACAAATATGATTTGTGAATCGTGACACAAGCACAGGAAATTATATGATATATAAAAAATAAGGTGCTGCGAACATTCATTAGTTATTCTTCCTTTTTAATTTTCCGCTTGATACTTCATGTCATCTTACTTTAGTTTGAATAACATTCTTCCACTCCAATAAAAAAATGTCACATTATAAGAGATTACCTCATCAATTGGAATTCGGAATGCCCTAAACCCAAAAAAACAAAGAAGGCCTCTAATTATCTAACAACTTTATCTGCTGAAGAGAGGAACATATATGTGTGCCATATGTGGTATATACTTGCAGACAAGCCAACATTATCTTCAGTGGATACATTTTCCATTATGCATATTGGTAATGGATGGGTCAATTATATTTTATTTGTTCTAAAATAAATAGTTGTCACGTACACATACGTCTGTTTTTAATTGATGGCGTGTTACATTATTGGCATACTGGACCAATTCTACGTCTACGGTGGCACTGCAATACTGACCAATTTTAATAAATTTTGGGCATGCGAAGCAACCACACTCAATTATATTTAAATCAATAACCACACAAACAACAGAGTGCAGACTGCCAAAACTTGATGAACCCAAAACAGATGTTTAGAAGGAAAAAAAAACACATTTAAAAAGAAGAGCCTGTAAGTTACCTAAGAGACAAACATGCATTTATATAAATTCACAAATAACAACATATAAAATATTTATACGTTAATAAAAACAAAAAGGCTTAATTATAAACCTTTATATTCTGTTTTTCTTTTATTTAGAAATCTTATACATTATTATCTTTGTTAATAATAACATATCACACATTCATTGTATTTTTATTAATTAATTGTTAAATAGAATGTTGAAATAAAAAAATAATCCTTTATTTGATGGTCCACACTCAGCATAGGCACTGGCATGCAAGTCTGAAATCTTCTTCTGATGAAGTTGGGGTTCTCTTTGGCGAGTCTGTTATGAACACTATATAAGAATTAAGAATAGTGGTCCACATGTGTGCATGTAAGGGTATATAAAAATATAAATATAGAGGGAAAGTAGATTGCTATATATTACATGGGCAAAGCATTCTTGTCACTGTTGTCGCACAACAGAGATAAAATGTTTCAGCAAACGTCACATCTTACTATGGCCAAAAGCATTAAAAGGAAGTAATTATGAATGAATGATTCACAGTTCAGACTCTTTCGGATAAAGATAAAGTCATACTGATGCTGTCTCCTGACAACTTTCGTCACAACCTACCCCTCAACTTTCGGGAATATCACAGTGCCCACCATCGTTTCCTTCAAATCCCAAACAAACCCACACCCTTCGTTGTTTAAGAAAAAGTAAACATCATCACTTCGTATTCTTAGTCCTACGTGAGATGGTTAATTCTCTTGGACAATTTGTCATGTAAGATTCGTTAAGATACATTTTTTTAATAGCATGTATAACTTTAATTAAATTAAATCATGTAACTGTTCCTAGAATTGTTACAGCAGACTATTTTTTTTACTTAAAAAGATGTTAATAATATCTTTTGACATATTCTTTAAATGCAATATTTGTTATCAATTAAAATCTATTAAACATCTTCAATTAATGAATTTCACTCATTTTTATATATTTTTAAAATGTTATTGATAACAACGAGTGCCTTAAAAAAATGTGTTTTTAAAATTCTTCTTCGACCTAATTTAAACTGCAAAATAGAAGATTAGGCTAATTATGAAAAAATTTGAGATGAATTATTCCTAATTTTTCACTGTTTTGATGTCTCGAATTTACAGGGACATTTTACTGTGAGTTAAGATTTATTAAAAATAAAAAATTATATAAATCTTATTTTTAATTTAATAAGTCTCGTAGTTCTCATAATTCTTTTATAATTTTTAATATTTTAATAAATATTTAAAAATTGTAAAAAATATGTTACAAATACTCTCGTATAAATAATTTTTTTTTCTTGTCAAATCTCATGTTAATAATCAAATTGATGATAATGAACCTCTGGAAAAAAGGGTTCAAATGAACCAGACTTTAAAATGGGCCATAAAATGGACTGG